CATGCAGACAATGAACCCCGGACTAGGTGCGTTCCAATTAGTCTTCCTACCAATATGACCACGTTGCGAAAATAAGGTCAAACAACCTCTATACTATAAAGTAACACGCAAACTATGGACTCCGGACTAGATGAGTTCCTCTAGATCTACCTACCAATATAACCAAGTTGCGAAAACAAGGTCAAACAACCTCCATAGAACGAAATGAGACTGCGCTCACAAAAATGGCCACAGCATCTTGGTCTGCATACCCTCGATTAAATGCTTAAAGTTTACGTGAAATCCCAGTCCTTAACGAGGGTCTTATGTTGATATAATGAACAATGGGGAGCAATACTGAGTGTTATTAGAATTATGAAGGCCTACTCAAATTTAAACCTAGAAAGTACACTATAATAACAGCAGACGAAAATGAGCCTGATAGCCAGTTCAGACTAAGCATTACAAGCCTGATACTATATATATTTTTGAATGACTAATACAGGGTTATGTGTTTGAAAACAATTCGCTGCCTTACCCGTAAGCACCGTTCGAAATAAGCTTAATGATTTCAAAGTCAGCTTCGCACGGCGGTCGAGCTGGCTGCAGTCTAGCTAGTGTCGCTGGAGCAGCGAATGTCGCCGGTGGCGTCGATACTGAAGTGGAGGGCAAAAGGGCTGAAGAATTACAAATTATGTGTTTTCTGCCAGGTAGCTCTTCGGCCTCCAAAAGGACGGCTGCCTCAACACAGCCTATTGGTGGAGTTTCACTGGAGAGACTGGGAATGTGGTTCACGTCAAAAATTTCTGCCTGGGAGCAATGTCTTGCCTCGGGTGCAATAGGAATCACGTGTGAAATAACATTAGCAACGTTTGAAGAAATATTTTTTTTGTCTACACAAGACAATAGGATGGTAAGAGCGGTAAGAGACAAAAAGCAGAAAAAATAGTTTTGGTTCAGATGAACAAATTCTATAAAATTAGAATGCAGTTGATACTAAAAAAATAACTATATGGCTTAGTTTCGAAGACTTTCGGTGAAACATAATCAACCTGGAAACTAAGTATTCAGATTTATAAACGAAATCTAGAACACAATTATTGTAATATGTTATAGGCTCGAAAATAAAGGACTCTAGGGATTTAACTCGAATTGAAAGTAGGGCTCGACATAATATACTTTCCCATAGAAAAGCCTTAATACAATCATTGATATGGACATCCATGTTATAGTTGTAAGGATATAAAAAAATATTGCTAAGAATACGATAGACCATAAAAGTCACAAAACAGATATTTATAAAATTGCATCAACTTCAATGATGCATACGGGACTTGCTGGCATATGCTCGTAGTCAATTGAAAGCGAATATAAAAAATCCAAAGTTCAAATCGGAAGCGAAAGAATATTTAAGAAAAATGATAATGCTACATCCTCCAGAATGGGAAGAGTCCAAGAAATCGAAAAAATGTATAAAAAAAAGTAATGATGATCATGAGGCAAAAATATTATGTGATAAAACAACCTTTTTTGGCTAGTATGCAATCACAAATAAAAAATCAATCGTAATCGATAATAAACAAAATTTGTCAAACTTAAGGGAAAACGTCTAGTATTGTGCCTTCATATCTTGTCCATGTAAACTTCCAGTACAAGACCGATCTATAAATGTTTCGCAGAAATTGTATTCACATCGCGAGTTATGTTACTAATAAAAACTGACCAAAGCTGTGTCAGCTCAAATAACGGTGACTCATTGGAGTACTCTAGGACCCCCGAGCTCCTATTCAATAAGTCTCTGCTCCCATATCAACCAACATAAAATTGCATTCAAAAAAATTTGACCTCGCTGTTATAGGCACAGGACAGGAGTCGAATGAACTTAAAAATCATAGCGAACAGAGCTTAATGCTGTTGCAATATTGCTAGCCACAAAAGTAGTCGCTGTGCAACAGCCTGGCTAAATTCGCTAGACCCCAAAAAGGAATACTCTCAAAAACTTTCAGTGTACTAAAGTTCGTGTCTACATATTAAGATTTACGAGTATAATTGATTAAGCCTCAGTTTTACAATAAAAATATCTAACCTTTTACTGATTTTACTTTATTTAGTATATGCGAATAAAAGTTGGGTTTCGAGGACTTCTTTATTTCATAATTGCTGAGCTTATTTCCATTTCGAGTAAAAGTATTCGGTGAAGAGATACGAGGGTCGATTCCACCAGACGATAGCAGATTCCTCTTGACCAGCTGTCAATTAGCCTTATTGAAACATTCTTGTTGACGCTATTTACGAAACAATCTCTTTCTATTCCGATGAAAACGCGCTAAGATTTCGTCCGTCAATAGACACCAGATCAAAAGGAATTCGCCGTCTTCTGATGGGATCGAACTTCAAAGCTCTTCACCGAACACTTTCACGCAAAATGGGCGCTTTAATCAAGCAACCATTATTAAAGATACGAAGAGTAAGTAGGTTCGAATGGGTTATATCCTGAGATAACATTATTAAAAAGACTTTCATCTCGAATAAAAGTGTATGAAGAAAATATTCGAAGGTCAATCTCAGCATAAGACAACGGATAATTATCCCTTTGTACCTCAATTGTTTTGTTCTAATGCGACGTTCAGGTTGACGCAGTCCACCAAATATTCATCCTTATTTTGGTTGAAAACGAACTGAATGTTCATCCATATGATTCACATCATAAAAGCTGGAACGTTGCATTAAACCGAACGGGTGCATTTCAAAAGGAATCAGCCGCAGTCTTCTGGTGAGATCGACCTTCGAATCTCTTCTTCATATACTTTCAAACGAACAACAATACTATTAACTAGGCTTATTCATCTATTCATAGTCATGCAAACTCAAGATAAAGCATTTTTGTTCCAGTTCGACCATTTACTTCAATTGCGGGACAATAAACAGTGTAGTTCAGTACTCAGAATAATGAATGTTGTAGCCAGGCTAAAGATAATTGTAAAAATATGAGTGTAAGACTATCTTGTGGTGCAGCAAATGCTATCTAATGTCAAGAGAGTAAAACAAAACCTCATTTGTACATTTGAAGAATTGATCGTTTTTTTTCAAATGGCTATAAATCTTCGTCACATCATTCTAACTCGTGGGTTCTTGATGTACCAAGAATGTTGAAATGATTTCCATTTCCAGCGTTCGTTTTTACTCTTCCGTTAACTTTTATGAGGTCAATATAACTTCCGCTAAGACGTACTTAATTTCCTCACTTTTGTTACCATATACAAAAGACAATATTTTCTTAAGGATTAACGTAGTATCGGAGTATTGATAGACGGAAGATAAATGCACTACTTTACCTGGTTCTTTAATTTGATCTGTGAGATTCGTCACTAAAGACCTCTTTTTTGCAAAGTAGTGATCTCTAAGGTTTTTATAGATCCCACATTTAGCAAGCTTCCTCTGACTCACTATACTTTCAAGTCGGAGATAGTTATAGACAATATGTCTGTCATCCTATGTAGTTTCCATAAATTGTCAGGAGTAATAATACTAATAAAATCATGCGCAAATATAGATATAATATACAAAAACTTAACAAATTTCTCGTCTCGCTATTAAGTGTACTCTATAATTTCACTATAGACGCATGATATGATATATCACTATCTTATCATAATAACACCTAATTAAACTGCAAAAACGTGAGATGGCGGAACATTGGAATCAGATAAGAAAGATCAAGAATGAGAGATTATCTTTAATGATCAACTGTAATAAGAACACTTTATGGAAAGATTTACATTGAAAATAGAACAAAGATATGAAACCAAAGAAAGTTTGATCAAAGGTTTGATGAAAATTTAATTTAGCTGATTAATGTGAGTTTAAACACGTTTTCCCAACTTAAAAGGAGGAACAGAGAGACCAGCATATCGTCGCTGGTCCAGCAGCCACTACCATGGAATTAATAAAAAGTTCCAACATCTGAACGTTACCTTGGAACATTCCCTACATCATTAATGAGAGGCGCCAATCTTGACACAAAGATTAAACTTATCAAAGTGAAAAGTAAAGGCAAATCCCCAACCAATTGTCTGACCTTTATTGCAGCTCTTATCCATCCCTTGTCCTAGCTCCTAACACTGCATCTCGCAGTCATA